TTTCAAAATTCTGAATGAGTTCGGAATGAAATTAAATCCAACTAAATGTTCTTTTGGTGTGCCTTCCGGAGAATTCCGAGGTTACATAGTCACGGAAAGAGGAATAGAAGCAAATCCTAATCAGATTGACGCTTTCCTCACAATGCCTTCACCAAAAAACATTAAAGAAGTCCAATGATTGACGGGCAGAATTGCGGCGTTGAATCGTTTCATCTCGAAATCTACCGATAAATGTCTCCCTTTTTATCAAATTTTAAAAGGAAACAAAAAATTTCGGTGTGATGATCAATGCGAAGCAGCTTTCGATCAACTCAAAACTTATCTGACAACACCACCGGTTCTCTCAAAACCTGAGTCAGATGAGAAACTTTATCTTTACAATTCAGTTTCTAATCATTCTGTAAGTGGGGTTTTAGTTTGAGAGGATCGAGGTGACCAAAAGCCGATTTCCTACATAAGTAAATCTCTTACCAGTCCAGAAACGAGATATACTATGATGGAAAAATTAGCTTTAGCAGTAGTCATATCTGCTAGAAAACTCAAACTTTATTTCCAATCTCATCCGATAGAAGTTTTAACTGCTCATCCACTTCGCTCAATTCTTCACAGACCAAGTCAGTCCGGTAGATTGGCGAAATGGGCAATCGAACTCAGTGAATACGATATAGAATACAAAAGTCGAACTAGCGCAAAAGCACAAGTTCTGGCTGATTTTCTAACCGAACTACCATTAGATGATGGAATCCTTATTGAAACAGACTCTACATGGAAATTACATGTAGATGGCTCTTCTTCTAAACAAGGATCCAGAATCGGTATTAGGCTCGAAACTCCGACAAAGGAAATAATCGAACAATCATTTCGATTAATGTTCCCGGCTTCGAACAACGAAGGGGAATACGAAGCTCTCTTAGCAGGACTTCGACTTGCTCTTGCAATTAGAGCAGAAAAATAATAGCTTATTGTGATTCTCAGCTAGTTGTAAACCAGTTCGCTGGAGATTACGAAGCTAAGGCACCTCGAATGGAAGCCTATCTTTCGGCTGTCAAAAAGTTAACCAGAAAATTCAAAGAAATCGAATTAGTTCGAATACCTCGAGGCGAAAACACTTCGGCAGACGCTTTAGCTGCCCTAGCTTCTACCTCAGATCCCGAACTCAAGCGAGTTATTCCAGTTAAATGTATTACTTCACGAAGCATTTCAGATGAAGAAACAGGAAACGATAATATTTTGGAAGCCGAGCATATCAAAATTAAATTCCGGTAACGAGAACAGTTCGCTTGTTGTCACCAGATCACGAGCGAAGTCTCAAGATGACAAACTTACTCCACAACCGGAACTTCCTAAAAGAAAAGCCGAGAAGAAAATTAAAGGATCAAGAGGTTCCCATTAAAGAACCATCTCGAACTGAACATTCACTTCCAAATATCACAAATAATGAAGAAGTTTTGGTGACAGTCGAAAGTGATCCTGATATTCCTTCCGAACCGGAACCAACGAAGTTTACACTCAAGGATAATATTTCCGCTAATGATTAGGGGGCTGACTGGAGGGTACCCATCAAAAATTTCATTCTCAATGGAGAACTACCATCGAACAAGTCGCAAGCTCGCAAATTAAGAATCATCAGCGCTAAGTATTGCATAATTAAAGAATCATTGTACATGCGAGGTGTCAGTGACCCTTATCTTTTATGTATTTTCGGACCCGAAGTTGAAATAGTGACAAGCGAGGTCCACGAAGGGCTTTGTGGTAGTCATTCTTTGGGACGAGCAATGGCTTTCAAAATCAAACGGTTAGGATATTTCTGGCCAACTATGATTTCTGACTGCATTGATTACGCCAAGCGGTGTAAAAACTGCCAGATGCACGCTCCTCTTATTCACTAGCCATCTGAATTTTTGCCATCTATATCCGCTCCATACGCTTTCATGAGATGGTCAATGGATATAGTTGGTCTGATGCATCATTCAACATGAGGCATCAAATACTTACTAGTTCTAACGGACTATTTTTCCAAATGGATCGAAGCTGAAGCTTACATAAACATAAAAGATTATGTGGTAAAGACATTCTTGTGGAAACACATTATTTGTCGCCATGGAGTTCCCTACGAAATTGTAACGGACAATGGTCCTCAGTTCATTTCAAATGATTTTGAAGATTTTTGTTCCTCTTGGGGAATAAAACTTAGCTATTCAACGCCGAGGTATCCTCAAGGAAATGGGCAAGCGGAAGCTTCCAATAAAACCATTCTCAGCAATCTTAAAAAACGTTTGAATGATCGAAAAGGTGGGTGGTATGACGAGCTGCAACCTGTGTTGTGGGAATATCGAATAACCCCGAGGCGAGCAACGGGAGAAACTCCATTCTCATTAGTATATGGGATGGAAGCAGTAGTCCCAGCCGAGCTGAATGTTCCCGGTTTACGCCGAAGTGAAGCTCCACTTAACGAAGAACTAAATTCTAAATTACTAGACGTTCTCGATACAATTGATGAAAGGCGAGACCAATCCCTTATTCGACTTCAGAACTACAGCAGTTGACCGCTCGATACTATAACTCAAAGTTGAAAAACAGACCTTTAAATATAGGAGACTTTGTTTTAAGGCGAGTGTTCGATAACACAAAAGAAGAAGGAGCTGGAAAACTCGGTATTAACTGGAAAGGCCCTAATCAAATCACAGAAAAGTCCGAAATGGTGTATACCGTTTAAAAGATCTTGACAAAAATCCCGTTCAAAGGTCTTGGAACATCATCAACTTGAAAAAGTTCTATTGCTAAAATAAACGTATTCGAACTACAAATTGGCTTGATCCTATTTTGGGTACGTAGGCAGCTCGCTAACACGAGTCCAGCTATAAAAATAAAAATATTATTCCAATCATGGAGTCTTGTTTTTATAAGCTCGATCCTCGAGCATAAATATTAAAATATAAAAATACGTTGCGAACAATGTATAAAGAAATATTTCTAGCTAAGCAAAAACCAGATCTAGAAGGGTCTTGGATTACAGAATAGCTCTGCTCCTTGGCCTGCGAAGTCAACAATGCTCAGAATGCAACCCGGCATGTTTCCGTACTCCTGGAGGCCTATCTCGATCCAATCGGAAGGGTGGGCTTCGAGGCGATGAAGCTCGCGAGCAATATCGAGGCGTTGCTTCTCTAGTTCCATTCTTCTTTTCCTAATCTCAATTTTCTCACCTTCGAGCTCGTTGTGCCGAGTGATAAGCTGAAGAAAAAAAACGCTTCGTTTAGCAACAACAAAAGGAGTCAGATCACTAGGTAAAACAATACCTTGTTAATAAACTCCTCAGCCTTGACACGATCTTGAGCTGATAATCTCTCGATTAACACGATCGGAACCTGAATCCTGGTTCCCCGCCCTTATGGATGTGACTCTTCTGGTTCGCCAGTCCCTTCCATTTTTACAAGCTCGATGTCTGACGTTCCCGGAAGATCATCGCTTATCATTTTGAATGAGTCGGAGGGATTCTCTGAAAAATTACCTTCCTCAAATATTTTTGTAGAATTATTGTTGATAAAACTCAATAATGAACTGCACCCACTTTATACTCGAAAAATACTCAATCACATTTAAGAGGGTCAATTGACGATTTCCCAAATCTAAAATTACTACCTTCATGGAAAATGTAATCGAGTTAATTGCTAATTATATTCCCTAGATTAACGCATTAAATGAGATTGAAATAAATCGACAAATTCAAAGCGAAAGGGGAAATATAATTAATGTTGCTGGGCCGCTAGCCCAATAGCATATTACAAACAAAAATAAATCAAAGAAATTGTTCGATCAAAAGTCTTCACCCGATAACGGTTCCGGCGAGGTGGATGATCCCGAACAGCTTTCTGAAGATAATTCCTCGTCAAAAGATAAATCGAGAAGACCGGAAGAATGGTCGATAGATTTCGTCTCCGGTTCTTCATTTTCTTCAGTTCTTAACATCGGAAATCTCCGAAACTCTGAAGAACATGAAACAAAAGAGGATCCGTCGCCGGTTGTCAAGGATAGATGAGATAATTTATCCAGCACACAGAGGAATCTTCGAAGACAAGTAGGAATGATAGCCACGATATCTAAACCCTTCCTCTCCCATTCATGCGGTTCAGATTCAAGGCGATGGATCTCTCTCTCCACCCTCCTTATACGCTCATCAAGAGCACGTCGCCTCCTTCTGATTATTTGTCTCTTATCACATAAAGCTTTATGCCTCCCGACGATCTGTTTGAACAAACATTTTGTCAACTATCTGAAAAAGAATATACATTCTTCTGAAAAGACTAAAAATTAGAAAGGAAACCTTTTCCAAGAAGTCATAACATTTGACCCTTTCTTTCCCTATCCGGAAATGGAAAAACATAGAGTGAATAACTCCCTTTGGAGAGAATCCATCTTCGGATCCAAACAATGGATCCCCATTCGAAGTTGTTATTCTTGAACTGGATCTGAAAGAGGATAGCGGCATAGTTCAGTTTCTCTTACAATAAACTATGAAAGTCCTTCAGAATTCTTTTAAAGGAAAAAAGTATACGAACTCTTCAAAAAATGTAACAGATCTGTTAGAACAGACTTCGAGTCCATTTAAAACGTGGCCCAACACACTTAAAGCCATTTTTAGGCTATGATCAAAACCATCGCCTAGTCATCTTTATGGCAAAAATTCTCATGAATTATAAAAGTCTTATCCCTCGATAAGAAGCTTAAGCCGAGCTCCATCCTCGCGTCCGAGAGACAGAGGAAAAATACTTTTAAAGATTTTTTCTTTAAAAAAGGCAAGTGAGCCTGATCAGCTCATCTCTCACAATTTATAAAACCTCTTTGGTGGGTAGGACTTGCAAACCTAGAATCGCATCCAAACGTTTTACTTAAATAAAAAAAATCATATGCAAGTGCATGTACATGATTTTGTTCCAACACACTAAGTAAACAAGACATTTCTGTCAAACGGAGTAGTTCGACTCTCCAAATACCAAAGAAAACTATTTCAGATTGAGAGTGGGTCGGGAAGCCGAGGATAACTCGGATTCAACTACAGCGAGTTCGGCAGTAACTTCCCTCCTCTCATTCTCGAACAAAACTCTTCCATTCTCTAGTTCCCCAATCAGGTCTAGGTTACTCTTCAGCTCGGCTTGATCGGTTTGAAGTTTAGTCCAGACCTCTTCATCTTCGATAAACTTCACGATATACTGAATAAATTGCCTACCAAAGCTCTTTATCTCTTCTCGAGCGTTATGCTCGGCTTCGGCGATCTCGCGAGCCCTAGTTTTGACTAATAAGTCGGCCTTGTGGTTCGCTTCTTTGGACAAAGCCATGGCCTCTTCTAACTTAGCCTTCAAGCGAAGAGTGTCAGACCTCGCAGAATCCCTTTCAGCATTCGCAATTTTGAGGCGTTGCTCGTTAGTCGCCAAAGTATTCTTCATATCTTCAAAAGACGACTCGAATGTTTTTGCCTGTTCAAGTCGGTCAGGCTGATTGACAGATTTAAGTTCGTCAATCTCGTTCCTAGCCTTTGCGGTTTCTTTCATTGCTTGGTGAAGAAGATTCTCATAATGGAAGATCATTCCATTAGTCTCCATAAACGCCTTCAAAGTAAAACAAAAAAAAATGTCATTCAGACAAAAATTTACTTAACAAGGAAGGTTTATTATAGTAAAAACCTAAAGTTCCGAACCTGAGAGAGGTAGCGAGCTCGATTGACGTACATCTCCCCTGCCCTGGTTTGAAAACTTCGGAAGATGTCTCCAATCTCTTCTCCGCCTGCAAAACAAAGGAGAATAGTAGATCAATGATAGAAAAAAATGAAGCAGCCGCAGTCTGTATTAGTCTTATTAAGGCTCGCGTTCTAAAAAAAAACTTACCTGTTTCTGAAATCGAAGCTGGTGAAGGGTTTTGAGTACTAACGCTCAATCCTTGAGACAAAGGAACCTCCTATCTCAATTCAGCGATTTCTTCTGGAAGTGCTCTGTTACTAGGAAGAGGGAGTTCAGGGTCTAAAGGTTCCAAATAAGGAAGAACAGAATGCGAAAGGCTAGGAGCTCGTAACGGAGAACTAAATCTAACAGTTTTGAGTTTCTCGTTTGACGAAGCATCTGAGTCTGGAACCTTCCTCTTTGTGCGGAGAGAAGAAATGACTTCTCTCTCTCTTTCTTGTGCGGAAGAGCAAATAGTGGTAGCGACTGGAGGGTCGTTAGGAGTCTCAGCTCCATGAGAATCCACCGCCATTACAAAGCTGCTTCTAAAGAACCGTCGTTGACCAGGAGGTTCTTCCTATGGAAGTTACCAACCTTGGAGATTGCAGCGATCCGTTTATTTATCCTAATTTCGGATAATTGATCCTTAAGAGCTTTAGTCTCGGCTAGGATTTGTCTCTTATCGCGAGCATTTATGCTCGAGACATCTTTCTCTTTAGGAGGAGGATCAAGGGGGCGAGTTTGACCATTTTTAATAGCGAGCCCCGCATCATGAATGCGTTGAAGGGTGTAGGAATTCCAATTTGTTTCACCCTCGGAAACGATTCGAAAGAAGGATAAAAAATCAACAGTTGGAGGGGGAATGGTTTGGTTCCTTGAAATAAAATGTTGAGTTAAGAATTCTATTTCTTTCAAACAATACAATGAAAAATAAGAAAGGTTGATTCTAACCAAGTTTAGACGACCATTTTGGGAGAAGAAGACCGGAAAGACCTTGAACGGAATGAGGATTAACTCGGAAAAAGAACTAGTATTTCCTCCAAGGACCATCATGCGAGGGCATTCCGTCGATCAGGTTACAGTCAAGAATAGGATTCATAGAAAAATTACCCGCCGCTTTGGACTCACGGGCTCAAAATAGCCCTAAGAGTTCGCTAGTGGTGAGAGAAAACCCTGCTACTACCGAAATGGTCAGGGTGCTCATGACATATCGGAGAAAGTTGGGAGCCATTTAGGGAAAAAGCAATCCCCAGATGGAGGAGGTACAAAAGAAGAACCTCCGGTATGGGAAAAAATAAACCGCAACCTTTGAAATAGACTTCTGAAGCACAACAGTAATCTTCTCGCACTGTTTCCGGAGACTCATTGGGTTTAGGGAGAGAGAATTCTATTTCCTGAGGAATGTTGCAGAGGCGACGGAGAACGCCGAGGGCAGCAAGGGTCGATTGAGACCTAAAATGCGGACCGAATCTATCTCCCCTTCGGGTGCAAACTTCGCTCCCGCTGGGAACGGGGATTCCCCGACTGTCGTCTTCGTTGTCCGAGACATAAACGGCTGGGGAAGACATTTTTACTAAAGGATTTTCTTTCCCTGGTTTGGTAAAAGATTTTTAGGGGTGAATATGTGCTGTAAAAGCCGTCGTTCCATTTAACCCTATAGAGCAGAAAACCTCCTTGAAAATATTGGGAAGTGGGATAGTTTTTCCCGCAGTATTAATATAAAATTAAGAAATTAATGATGACGGTTGTCAGGAAAATCAAATCATTTCGTTTCCGAGATCGGCATAACAGCGTAAAACATGGAGAAATTCCAGAATTTCAAAGATCTCGATTCATTAATTACTATTTACTTAAGCTTTCCAAGCCGAGGACTCAGCTCGCAAAACTTGGGGGGCTAAATGTTGGGGTCGGTTCCCACACGTTTTCAGTAGGATCCACTTGGATCTGTCCACGTCATTATTACATAGTAATCCTCTCGGAATTCAAGATATTTTATTATAAGTATTGAACTTGACTGGTCGGGAGCTCGATTCAGTCCAATAGGAGAGTTCGATCTTTGCCAGTATGGAGTTCGCTCTTATTTGATATATAGTTCGCATAGAGAAAGGCTGAAGTGAGGAGAGTATTGTTCGAGGCTCGCAGTAGCGTCAAAACGCGGGAGTTCGGAGTCAGCAAGAAAGAGTTCGGAAAACCCATGTGAAGCCCAAGATAGTTCAAATTCAAGCCGTTTCGGTCAAATTGTAACTTACATGATTAATGCGGATCAATATGATTATGAGCAGTAAATGACCGCATTAATCATGTTTTCTCTATAAAAACAACTTCAAACGCATGTGTTTGAGGAGAGACAGACTTTTACACACTACGACTAAGCAATACAACATACTTTCTCTCTTTACTATTTCGCAAGGCTTTACGTACTTCGTTCTTATCAAATTTCTTTACTTTTTCTTCTTGGTTAATTTCCCCTTCGAATTCCCATATTCATTTGTTGATTTTAAGAGTTTTTCTCCAATGAAATACTTAAAGATAATTGAGTGTGAATCCTACATCCACAATGAGGTACACCTGAGAGTTGTTCTGGCGAAACTGCGGGAGCAGAAGCTGTTCGCTAAGTTGAGCATGTGTAGTGTCTGGGAGCAGGAGATTGGGTTCCTAGGACACATTATTTCAGCCGCTGGGGTGTCTGTTGATCAAGAGAAGATTCAGGCTATTAGGGAATGGCCGAGGCCGAAGAATGCTATGGAGATCCGAAGTTTTCTTTGCTTAGCGGGATATTATCGGAGGTTCGTCAAGGGTTTCGCGATTATGGCTCAAGCTATGACGAAGCTGACTGGGAAGGATGTTCCTTTTGTGTGGTCTCCAAAGTGTGAGGAGAGTTTCGCGAACCTAAAGGCGATGTTGACGAGCACACCAGTCTTGGCGTTGCCAGAGCAGGGCGAGCCATATGCGGTGTATGCAGATGCGTCGAGAGTGGGTCTTGGATGTGTGTTGATGCAGCATGGGAAGGTGATTGCCTATGCCTCACGGCAGTTGAGGAAGCATGAAGGCAACTATCCTACCCATGATCTTGAGATGGCTGCTGTTGTTTTTCCCTTGAAGTTTTGGAGATCTTATCTTTATGGCGGGAAGGTTCAGGTGTTTAAAGATCACAAGAGCCTGAAGTACATCTTTACTCAGCCGGAGCGGAATCTGAGATAGAGGAGATGGATGGAGTTGGTGGTAGATTATGATCTGGAGATAGCTTACCATCCTGGGAAAGCTAATTTAGTTACTGATGGTTTAAGCCTGAAGCGAGTGGCTTCGGCTCAGGATCGTGACATGGAGTCATTGGTTTATGAAATCAGTACGTTGATATTATGAAATCAGTACCATTGGGTTTGGAAGGAATCAGGCAGATCTTCTGAGCAGGGTGCGATTGGCTCAGCAGTTGGATGAGGTACTGATTAAGGATTCCAAGGTCGAGGGTTCTGAGTATTAGGTCTCTACTAATGGGACGATTCTAGTGCACGGACGAGTATGCGTGCCTAGAGACAAGAATTTGAGGGGAGGGATCTTGAGTGAGACTTATGCGAGCATGTTTTCGATTCATCCAGGGGTGACTAAGATGTACTGGGATCTAAAACGGTATTATCACTAGGTTGGAATGAAGAAGGATATAGCTAGCTGGGTCCTAGCTTGCAACGTGTGTCAGTTAGTGAAGGCTGAGCACCGCAATCCAGGTGGTTTGTTGCAGAATTTACCCCTTCCAGAGTGGAAGTGGGATATGATTACGATGGATTTTGTGGTGGGGTTGCCTACTTCGCGGACCAAGGATGCTATATGGGTTATTGTAGATCATCCGACGAAGTCAACACAGTTTTTGGTCATTAAGAAGACCGATGGGGCTGAGGTTTTGGCTAAGAAGTATGTGTAGGAGGTAGTGAGATGTCATGGAGTACCAGTGAGTATAGTGTCAGAACGGGATCCTAAGTTCACTTCAGCGTTCTGGAGGGCATTCCAGGAGTAGATGGGCACTAATGTGCATCTGAGTACAGCTTATCATCCTTAGACGGATGGACAATCTGAGAGGACCATTCAGACTCTTGAGGATTTGCTGAGGATGTGTGTACTGGATTGGGGTTGTCATTGGGCGGATCATCTGGGTTTGGTAGAGTTTTCTTATAATAACAGCTACCAGGTGAGTATTGTGATGGCTCCTTTTGAGGCGTTGTATGGGAGGCCCTGTCGTACACCTTTATGTTGGACCCAAGTGGGGGAGATGAGTCTTTATGATGAAGGTTTTGTTCGGAAGACCTCGGAGAAGATTCGGGTTTTGAAGCTGAACATGAAGGAAGCTCAGGATCGGCAAAAGACTTATGCTGATAAGAGGAGGAGAGAGCTTGAGTTTGAGGTGGGAGATAGAGTGTATCTCAAGATGGCGATGTTGAGGGGTCCTAACAGGTCCATTACCGAGAACAAGTTGAGTCCGAGGTATACGGGTCCGTTTAGGATTATTGAGCGAGTTGGACCGGTTGCTTATCGGTTAGAGTTACCGGAGATTATGCAGGTATTTCATAAGGTTTTCCATGTGTCGATGCTGAAGAAGTGCTTGCATAAGGATGAGGAGGTGTTGGCTAAGATTTCCATAGATCTTCAGCCCAACATGACCTTGGAGGTGAGGCCAGTGAGGGTTCTCGAGAGGAAGATCAGGCAGGATCGTCGGAAGAAGGCTCTGATGATCAAGGTTTTATGGGATTGTGATGGTGTTGAGGAGGAAACTTGGGAACCAGAGGCGAGGATGAAAGCGAGATTCAAGAAGTGGTTTGAGAAGCAGGCGGAGGCTTGAGCTTATCATCGATGGTCCCAGTTTCAGATATTGTAGATACGTTTGTTAAAATTAATGGATTTGGTTTCTACTTTTCTTGTGTTTATGGTAATCCAAATCCATCCTATAGACACTTGGTTTGGGAACGATTAGAAAGAACTACCGCAAATAGAACGGGTCATTGGCTAGCTGTTGCTGATTTTAATGAGATTAAGGGTAACCACGAAAAGAAAGGAGGACCTCCTAGACCGGAGAGTTCCTTTATGGATTATAGACGAATGTTACAAGTCCGTGATTTCTAGGACGTCAAATCAATAGGAGATCCTTTCTCCTGGGTTGGAAAGCGACATACACATGACATTGCTTGTTGTCTGGACAGATCAATGGCAAACAATGAATGGATCGCGCAGTTCCCAGCGTCTCATACTGAATTCCTAGAGCTCATTGAATAAGACCACAGACCAGTTATCACAACAATATCTAGTGACTTTGAGCAAAGAGTGGGCCAGTTCTGCTTTGATAACAAACTTGTGGATCGAGAGGGCTTTCATGACGCAATTAAAAGAGGATGAAACATGGCAAATTATGGAGAGGAAGATTGTCTGCGTTCTCGACTCTCTTCTTGTCGCCAGGAAATAGCCAGATGGAAAAAGACAAACAAATCTAACGCCTAGGAAGACATTGCTATCCTCAAAAACCGTCTTGACAAAGCTCACAAGGATGGT